TGCTTGCTTTGTGTATCTTCCGACAAACATCAAGGGCATAAAATATCAAACACTTTGGAAAACTTTTCTTCCAAAAAAGAACTATTGAAGAAAGACTTAAAGTTATTAGAGGAAGTTATAAGCCCCAAATATGAAAATTTATTATCAGAATTAGAGATACAAGAAGGACGTATTGAGGAAAACTACAACGAACTGACATTAGCTGTAGTTAAACATGGAGAGGATTGGCACAGACATGTGGATAATGCCGTCAACAATCGCAAATCTGAAATTGAAGAAAACAAGAAAAAACATATATCTGCCCTTAACAAACACAAAGTTGAAACGGAACAAAAACGGGCGAATGTTAAAACAAGTATTTCCGAAATGAATGCAATACTTAATTCTGGTAATATGTCCCTTGTGTCTGGTTATAAAGGGGAAACAAATGACTTGAAGAAAATGCCTCCGCATATAAGAATTACGAAACCACAATTTACAGCAGGAGAAATAGATGACGAAAAGCTTTCGCTGTCATTTGGAAACATTTCTCCAGTAACTATATCCTTTGAAGATGCAGAAGACATTACTTTGACGACGGAAGAAGGTACCTCCTTGCTTATCGATGTAACTGAGGAGAAGCCAAAAAATCCGCCACAAGTTATAACGCTTACTGAGGACTCAAGATTCAAGATATTTATTGTATTAAGTATTGCAGGCCACCGGCCCAAAGTACAATCATGTTTTACAATGTAGAATTTACAATTTCAGATCAGGCTTTAAATATACATTATGGAAAAAAATATAAACTATGCTTATATATTATCACGTATTAAATTCTCAATGAACTTTTTCCTCTCTTTAAAAGCTAAAAAAGAAAATTTTGCCATATCATTTAACACTGCATCATTTCCATATATAAACATATTCACAGTGTTTTTATAAAATCTTAAGTGTTTCAAAATATTACAGTGTACTCTAATATCCATATATAATTCACAATTTTCTACAAAGTGACTTTCATTTTCAATAACATTTTTATTTGCTATTTGACAGAAGAGACAAAACCTATTTTCTCTAGGAATACCTTTAAATCGACCATGTTCAATTTCCAAACAATGACTAGAGGTTCTTAATTTGCAAAGTGATTCTCTAAAAGATACATTGTTTATAACATCTAGATACCTTTCTGGTTCAAAAAGAATTTTGAATTTACAATAAAAATCCAATTTACAAAAATGCAAAAGATTTGTTTATATGATGCATTGTATATCTTCATAAATTTATATACAATAAACAATGCTTTTTCTGCTGACACACACAGAGACTTCTTTGTCAATTCCCATGACATTGTACTTGTAAAATATAACCCTAGGTATTTGTAAAATGATACAATTTCAATTTCTCTTCCATCAAAAAACCATTTCTCTGTACTTTTTGTTACACCCCCTCGTCTAAACACCATAATCTTTGATTTTTGTAAATTAATTTTCATGCCATATTTGTAGCAAAATTTTTCTAACGCTTTAATTTGATTTTGTAAGTTGATAACAGTATCTGCAAAGTTTACTACATCATCAGCAAAAAGTAACTGCATAATATTAGGATATGTCTCATCAATATATATGCCTTTACATTCCATTGATTCTAATAATTCTGTAAGTTCCCCAATAAACATGATAAATAATAAAGGACTTAACATACAACCCTGTCTTGTACCTATATTACACTGAAAAAAGTCTGAAATAAGATTTTGATTTCTAATACATGATGTTAATTGGGAATACATTGACTTTAAAAGCAATAAAATATTTGTACTGACTCCTTTCTTAAATAGTGTATACAATAAAATATTATGTTGAACACAATCAAAAGCTTTTGAAAAATCTATAAACATGCAATACATTCTACCTTTGCTTTTACTTATATATTTATATACACTTGCTTGAAGAACAAAGCAATTATCAATAGTAGAACGTGTATGTCTAAAACCAGACTGTTGTTCAAACAATACTCCTTCATATTCTGCCCAACTAGTTAATCTGTTATTCAAAATTTTAGTAAAAATTTTACTGATGACATTCAGTAATGATATTCCTCTATAATTTTCTGTTATATTCTTATCTCCACTCTTGTACATAGGGCATATAATAGCTTTACCCCATTCACTTGGAAAAGTACCTGTTTCTAATATAGTGTTAAATAATTTTACAAAGTATTGTGATAATTGATCAAGAGAGTTTTTATAAATTTCTGTCACTAAACCATCAATTCCTGGTGCTTTCACTCTAAAAAAAGTTTTACTTGTTGTTTTTAAAATAAGATATTAGATTAAGAAAAACTAGTAATTATTAGTAATCCATTTAGTCAGAATAGCAAGTAAATGACTATCATGGTTAGTAATTGTAATCATAATTTGTAATAAGGATGAATTCATTTACTTATAAAATGATTTACTAAGTATCAATAGAATTACTTAAATTATAGGAATTGTATTACTTAAAGATAGTAAATGAACTACTCATTTTTGTTAAATTATTATTACTTAATTTAGAGATAATATGCTTTCTATTTACTAAATTTTATGAATTATTACTAAGTAAATGTAATTCTGAAATTAATTAAAATCTAGAATATTATTACTCAAAAGAATACTAAGTAAATGAAATACTTATCATATTTACTAAAATCGATATTATTTGCTGGAAACAGTGCAAGGTACCGACCCTCTGACATGTGAGTACTACTCACAGATTTCTTTATCAGAGTTCCCTAATTGGGCCCTCTGAATAGTTTAATAGAAGAATTCTACTTCTGATGGAAACAATTATACTTTCTATTTCGTTTGCCAATTTCTTTGCAATTGTTTTATTATATATATCAATAAAACATTTGATTCCAACTTCGAAAGCCTTAAAAATTGAATAAAGTTGTATCTTTTTAAGGACCATTTTAAAAATGGTTAAACATTTCAAGTACTTAATATCGCATTTTTATTAGTGTGACTTTTTTTTTCACATGAAGGAATATTTAGAAGAAAGATAACTCCTCCTCACAGACAATTAGTGATTAGACTACCATATTTAAGTAATTATTGATCTGAATTCTCCTTGATTTAGTAAATAAATTTTTGTTTTAAGTAAATCAATTTTATAAATACAATTCAAACAAGATGTGTTTGTGAAACACCTATGCCCCGGCCTGTATGGCAACATATCAAAGGTTAAACTTTTCTTATATGCAAATTTCAATTATTGGGATTTCTTGATATCTCCAAGGTCAAAAGGTCAAGGTTATTGGTATCTAATGAAAGGTCTTGCCAAAAAAAAAAAATACATATGTGATATATGGAAACACTTGCCTCAACCCTTCAGAAGTTATGGTCAAGATTACCAATTTTGAAATGTAAGTCAAACGCCAAGGTCAAGGACAAAGGGACAGATTTGGTGGTACCCAAAGAAAGGTCTTGTCACAAGGATGAACTATGTAAAGTATGAATGCACTAACCTTAATCCTTTTAAAGTTACAGTCAAGGTTTGCTTTTTAAAAGTGGGTCAAACTCCCAGGTCAAGGTCAAAGGTTCAAAGTTCTTGGTATTCTATGAATGGTCTTCTCAAAATGATTACATATATGTAAGTATGAAAGCACTATTTCTTACCGTTCAAACGTTATGGCCAAGGTTAAAGTTTTTTCACAAGGATGGAAATCTCCAAGGTCAAGGTCAAAATTTCATAGTTGTTGGTATTCAATGAAAGTTCTTTCAACAAAAAATATATATGTGACGTATACATGTCCTGGTATTTACCGTTCAAAAGATTTGGATAAAGAATAAGTTTGGATTTTTTGTGTATAATTGAGTCAAACTTCAAGGTCAAGGTCAAATTTGGTGATACTCAAAGAAAGGTCTTGTCACAAGAAATACACGTGTGAAATATGAAAGTCATAGCTCCGCTAAATCAAAAGTTATGGGCAAGGTTAAAGTTTCTGCGGATAAACAGACAAACAGAGAGACAGCTAGACAGACAGACGGACACGACAAAAACTATATACGCCCGAAACTTCGTTTACGGGGGCATTGAAATATTAATTATATAGTAAATATATAGTGGTAAACTGTAAGTAAAGACCAAGTAATGTTATTACTTATATACACAATTTTAAGTAAATATAAATTACTAAGTAAAACTTTTTAGTGTGTAAGTAAAACAATTCTTTAAAATACAAAAATCAAGTAAAACATTTGAATCTAGTAATTGACATATATTTCAGTAATTGATTTTAAATTTTAAGTAAATGGTTAGTAATTATCTATTACTTATCTTTGTTATTTCAAGTAAAAAATGACTACTAAGTAAAACTTTTTTAAGAGTGAATTATTATTCTTCATTTCAGTGAGTGCATCTTTTACTTCCCATAATTCAATAGGTTTATCCAATTCAACAACTTCATTTTTTACATTACCATCCTCAAGTTCTGTTAGAAAACTGTTGGCCTCTGATTCAAAGACACTATCTATATCAAACTTAGCAGAGTCTAATAAGGTTCTAAAATAATTTATCCACTCGGTATTTGAAATATTAGTTTTGAAAGTACCTCTTGTCAATTTCTTTATAGCTTGCCACATGTTTCCTATATCATGTTCACTTAGACACCCTTCAATCTGTAACTGATTAAACTGAGATTCTTTAAAGTGATACAAGTCTCTAAATTTTTGTCTTTGTAATTTATAATTGTTTAGATCCTCCTCTGAATTTGTTTTCCTATATGTGTTTAGTGCACGACTCTTTTCTCTCTTAGCTTCTTCACACTGTTTATCCCACCATTTAGGCTGGTCTAATTTCATAGGTTTCTTATCCCATTTCATTTCTAATGCACAATATTGTAATATATCTGTAATTAACTGTACAGCATTGTCTACATTACTATTTCTTAAGTTTGTATCTAACGAGGACAAACATGCCTTTACATAATCTGAGTTAAATTTTTCAACAAAATTTGATCTTTTATCTTCTTTCCATCTAAACCTCACAAGATCCCCTCCCTTTGATTCTATATTTCTTATCATTAGATTCGGCACTTTAAAAATACAAGTCAATGGAAAATGGTCCGATATGTCAGAATCATTTACAATAAAATCTTTCAAAAAGGAAAATAACTCTACAGACAATAAAAAGTAATCAATGACACTTTTACCATTTGTAGATATGTATGTATACTGCCCTTCAGTATCACTTTCAGATCTTCCATTCACAAAATGTAACTGTAATGACTTACATAAATTAATCAGTGCTTTTCCGAATTTATTAATGCCTTTATCACGTGATTTTCTTGGTATGGAAAAAGTAGCATGTTCATCTATGTCTTCACCAATAACTGGGATATATTTTTCATTCTCATCAAAATCTGACATATTACCTATACGAGCATTAAAATCTCCTGTGCATATTACACAGACCTCTTCTTTAATGTCACTCAAAAAATCTAACAATTCACTATATAATAAATGTACACCATTTGTATCATCTTTATCTTCATAAAAACTAGAGTTTTCTGGTGGCAAATAACAGGCAACCATAACAACATCCTGAGGACTCCGATTCTGGACGAATCATAGATACTCTTAATACAGGATATCAAAATCTGCGTAGT